GGGGGGGTGAGCTAAGGCCTTCCCGGGATAGTAGAAATTAAAGGGCCATTAAAAGACTTAATCACCCGGAAGAGGGGGCCCTGAAAGAAGGGTGCATTTGAACCTTGGAGAGGGTTCGAAACCATTCGACATGGTTAAATCTCCAGTATTCTTACCGGTTAAGGATACTTCAAGAATTACTAGGTTACAGGTGCTTCCATCTACAATTTACCGGTGACAAAAAAAAAGAGAATACCCCGGTTGGGTATTGGTACAACGGAACTTCGAAAGTTCTACAAGGCAAAGTAGTTGACCGGCCGGACCATGGGGTAGGAACCTACCGGTCAAGCGATACTTTATCGAAAAGCCAAAATGAAGTTTAGCCGGTCAAACTTTTTAAAGTTGATCATCAAGATGAAGACATTCAAGAATGAAAGTTGGAGTTTAACCGGTCAGAGTTTTTACGAAGGCATTCAAAGAAGCAAGAGCAAAACGTGAATCAAGGAGCAGGCAAATATGGAAGATTAACCGGTAAGCAAATCAAACATGGCATTCAACAAAATAAGAAAGTTAAGTGTTTACAGCTACACCGGGCATACCTGGGGAAATTTCAAGTCTGAAAGTTGTACAAAAATAACCGGGCGCAGCCGGGGAGTTCATTCCAGGGGGAAAGGGGGCTCGGGTTCTTCATCAGGGATGGGGGCCAGGCCATAAGCATCGGTAGAGAAGGCCGGGTCCCGCTCAGCCAAGATTGCATAGGTAGCCTCACGGTCTCGTTTCTGCCCGGACATGAAACCGTAGGACCCAACCTGGGTGACCATTTCCTTCCCGTTGGGTTCCTGGTAGATGAACTTAAAGGCCTCCATCGTCACCTCCGGAGTAGATGTGATCACCTGGGCCGTCTCCTCCAAGTTCTCCCCCACCCATTGCTTGGCCCTGCCGGGGAACTCTCGCTCCTTCAGCTCCAAGTCCTCCATCAGCTTCAAGTTCTCTTCCTTCAGCTGGAGGGTCTCTGCCTTGGCCCCCCCGGCAATCGCAGAAAGATTGGCCAACTCATCAAGCTGCCGGGCTATCAGGTCCTACAGCTCCCGGTTGTGAGCTTCAACTCCCTTCAGCTTCTCCTCCAGCTAAAGTGACCGGGAGGGGGAGTCCTCTGCGAGCTTCTCTAAAGTTTCCGGGCCGACCTCGCCCATCTGCGAATTGGAGAGCAATCCGGTTAGAAAAATAAGCAAGCGGGTGGCAAAATTAAGAGAGCAAGACCAGTCAGAAGTTACCTCCTTCAGCTTCTGCCCCATCTTGACCTAGAGCTCCTCCAACGACTCTGTGGCCGGGATGTTTTCTCCCCTCCTCCTCTTCGCTGAGGGATGGGTGGTGGCGGCGTGCTTGGTTCGAACCTTCCCCTTCCCCTTGTCTAGGGGAGGGTTTACCGTGGTCTTCCCGGCCTGACCGGTCCTCCCGGTCGGAGGAGTTTCCTCCTCAGAATGGATCTCTACCGGTTCCTGTTGGACCGGTACAGTTTTGGGGGCAGCAGAGGAAGAGCCACCGGTCTTTTTCGTCGGGATGTTGAACGCTTTGAAATTCATCTCTAGAAAACAAGCGAAAATATAAATGTTCGAACCCTGACCGGTGTAATCAGAGAATGAGGAAAGAGTAGGAAAGGATACCTGGGTGACTGGAGCCCCCAGCCTCCGCAGTGTTGCCCGGGGCGGGTACCCCGTGCCCCGCTGCTTCATCAGCCCTGGGGGTACCCGTGCCACCCGGTGAGATTCTCCAAATCTAAGCCCCGTAATGGAACATTTGCCCGGTGAACGGGTCCCCGCGGAGAAGCTTCTCTAAACTCTCTTCTAAGTCGGGGGCGGTGGCCGGCTCGGTATATTGAGGCTTCAGGATGTGGTCATTCCATTTTATGCCGGCCAAAGGAGAAACGGAAGGAAATTTTATAAAAACAAATTTTTCCTTCCACTGCCGGTTGCTTTGTGGAAGGTCAGAGATAAATTGACGACCGTTACGACCCTTGAAATATACATAACCGTCGCATCCCGACTTACCGGGAAGGACTTCAAACAAGAAGAGAAATAGGCGAAGGGAAGGGTCGACCTTAAGTTCAACACAGATATTTACAAAGGCGTTGAGGAAACGGTGGGCATTGGGCGTAATTTGCCCGGGAAGGATCTTAAAACAATGGCACAACTCGACAAGGAGAGGACGGAGGGGGAATACGGTGCCACTCTCCAAAGAAGTAATGTGGAAGCCTATTCTATCATCCCGGTGAGGCTCGATAATGTTCGGCCAGCTGGGGTCGAATTCAAGGACATACCCCTCCGGGAGATTCCTACGAACCTTGTTTTGGGCAATCTTGGAAACATGGGGGAAAATGTCTGAGGGGTAGCTAGTAGGGAGGGGAAAGTAACCGGCTGCTTCCAGCCGGTTCACCCATTCCTCATATGACTCGTTATCAGGGTCATAGGGAGCCGGCTCATCGTCAACCGGTTCATCCCTCTCCTGAAAAACCTGACCGGGCATTTGGTTAACCGGCTACGGTTCAGGGGCGGTGGTGTTGGGAACCGACCGATGTTCAAAATCGGGTGAAGATGACCCGGTGGAGGAGGAAGAAGATGGGGATTCCTCGAATGCGTAGGCATCCGAGGGGGAAATATCCTGACTGTCGGAGGAAGACATTTACCGGAAGGAAGAATGGAGAATAAAGAAAGCTAATAAGAGAAAGTGAGGAGCTTACTTGACTCGGAGGGCTAGGAAGCTAGAGAGAGAAGCTTGACCGGTGAAACTCAGGAGACGCGCGAGAAGAAGTGAAGAAATGAATGGGGTGGAGCTCTTTATATAGGCGAGGAAGGAAGGGAACGGACGGCATGGCCATTCGAGGGCGCGCCGCGTCAGGCGGCGCAATGATGGCGCATGGGAAGACGAACGGACGGGCTGACAGCGGTTCAAAACGGATAGTTGAGGCGCTACACGTGTCTGAATTCGAATTTTGAAATTCAAATTTTGAAATCCTTGGGCGGGAAAAGCTGAAATTCGAAATTAAAAGTCCTGTTTCAGATTTTTACTTCCCGCTTATGACAAAATTGCATAACCGAGAAGTGGAGGGCTTATTGATGGGTGTATCTCACCCATGATCGGTCAAAGGACGGAACCAAATAGTTGACCGGTCAAAGAGGTTAAACTTGAATGGAGGACCCGAATCGTCAGCAAAGGGGATAGATGGTTGACCAAAAGGTTGACCGGTATACTATACCGGTGAAACTTTTCTATCGTCTAAATCCATCCTTCGAAACTAGCTAATCAACCCTCAAGAACCAACTGGTGAAGTTTCCGAGGATTTGAGGGTGTCGGCAGGAAGAGTCCAAAAGGACTTGGACTGTTGTGACTGACATTACTGGAGAATCAGTGGAGATGCCAAAGGAACTTTTCCAAACCAGAACACGACAAGGGCACAACCCCCCTCGCAAGATGACAAGGCAGCTCAGGGACAGTCACCTCGCACCACATCAGCAGCGTGCCCCCACGTGGGCGCACGTGGTCCTGTCCCCCCAACTTAGTATATATACCTCCTGTAACCCTCGAAGAGGGGGATCCGAATTCATTCTCTCTAAACTCCCTTGTAAAAGCACCCGTGCATTCTCCGTTATAATATAAATTGGGCTACAGGTGTTCCACCTAAAGTCATACCGGTCAATCTGCGTGTTTTTACCTTTCTTACTTTGCCAAATCAAGCAAACTATTCTAGACCCGATCTAGTATAGTTTGACCGGTCACGTAATTTACACCATCAATGCTGGACGAACATACTTGAATAGTGGGAGTGAAATCTATAAAATTATTCAAATAAAAGTCCATAGACTTGTTAAAATCCATAGAAATTATTTACTTCCTCCGTCCCACAAAAAAGTTCCCATTTTGAATACTCCGTAGTATAAGTCAAACATTTACACGCTTTGACTACAAATTGTGAGAAAAGTTTATTGAATTATTAAATAAATTTAATATAAGTAGATTCATCTTAGGATCTAGTTTTGATATCTCAAATTTTTATTGGCATTTCTTTATTTAGATTATATTTAATTTATGGTCAAAACGTGTAAATGTTTGACCAATTTATGGACAAAATAAGAACTTTTTTGTGGGACAGAGGGAATATATAAAATCAATGACTTTTAAAATATCAATAAAAGTTTATGACTTTCAACAAAAGTCTATTGACATGAATAGAAGTCATTGATTTTAAAAATATGAATCTAATTCCTAATAGAATACACACCCTAGTAAATACTATCCCCGTATATCCACCTGGCATCTCAAAAAACTTCCCCATACATTTTACTTCAAACTGCCTAATTGCTTAGTTCAAACTTTCCCTATTGGATACTCGCCGGCGCTTCTCATTCATCGGATTTAGTTTCGGGAGTTCGGAGAGTGATTGTTCGACAGATCATTTGGTTTGCGTCAATGGAGGAAGGGGAACAGATTGATCTCGAAATCAAAGATCACAGCATCTCCAATGTTTCGCTGGAGAATGATAATTTCGTTCTCAACTTGTCTTCTTCCCAGCTTCTTCAGGCGATCAGCCTCAATCAACCAGGTTCTTCATCTATAGGCATTCATTGTGCCATCTTTATTTGATTGCGATTGCATTGAGATGAGAGTTTTGGTTTTGAATGAAGTAAAGATCAATGTAGAAATCTGAACACTACTTTCTGTAGGATCGCAATTTTAGTCTTAATTACCTCAAGTATGTGTTCGATTAATATGTCTGATTTTTTGCTCTTTTCTTCTTTTTTAACTGAACATTTGAAAGCTTTTATGGATACAACTGAATCTGATCTGTTGTTTATTTATGTGTGAGTATAGATTTTACAACTCCATCGCATCTTGAAGCAAGATATCATTTAATGGGGTTTTTTTTATGATGTGTGCTGTTAGAATGATGAGTCCTTATACCGTACATCCAGATGCAAGATATTTCCCGTACATCCGTGAATACTCATTTCCGAATTCCGAGTAATGGATACTTATTTTGCATATTTATTAATTTTTGGTGTTTATTCAAAGCATGTACATTAATCATTATAACATATTCAGAATGTGTATGTTTATTTGAGAACTACATAATGCTCATTACATTCATAACAAATGTATATTTACGAGTAACACAGTACCCATTTCAACTAAAATAAAGACGATTGTACAACTATAACAAAGAAATATGCGAAATGAGTATTTAGTTACTCGTAAATGAGTATTCTCCGCGGATGTACGGAAAATACTGTAGAGCCGGTTGTATGGTATATATTTCTTTTGAATGATGGATGAAGAAATAATGAAATAGTGTACCCCAAAGGCTTGGTTGAATGTTGTGACAAAGTATGGTGCAAATGATTCTTATATGGAAAAAAAGCAATGACCAGTTCTCTTCATCTTAAAATGCAATCTTATCTGATTTTTTTTGAAATCTAGTATGGACTTGCTTGAATCTTTCTGCCCTGGTTTGAATGTATCATACCAGCTCTAATTTAAATGTTTTTTATTATGGAGTAAAACAAGTAATAAGCTAAAGTAACGATAAAAGAATAGCACCTAATTTTAGTTTCAGTAAAAAATACTACTTGACTATAGGTCATATAGGATGATTGTTCTGAATCTGAATGATGTTGTAGATTATGATTTTTTTATTAATCTAGAGATGTGTTTCTTTTATCTCATTTTTTTCTTCTAGTGCTACTGTTTCATGTCTCTGGGGATAAGGCTTCTTCTGTTTTTTAATCAGAGAATCATAAAGAGCCTATATGTTTGGAGTTATTTGAAAATATTGAAGGTCAGGAAGAATTAGATACTTATCCGTGTGATGAAAAGGATGATACCTTTCCTGAAATTTGTGAGACAATTGAACCCGAAAGCCCCAAGTGGAAAGGAAATTTTAAGTTTCGTGAGAGTTTAGCCTGGGATAGCGCTTTCTTCACAGATTCCGGTATTCAAATTCATCTTTCCTTTTTTTGGTTTCAGAATTTTCTTTTTTCTTTCCTTCGCAGGATACCATTTTTTGGAATCCTAATAGAAGTAGTCTCATGGAGGCCATTTTTTTTTGCAAAAACATTTCCAGGAGTACTAGAACCTGAGGAACTGTCCAGAATGATCAAAAGAACTGAAAATGGTGACAAGCATGATCTGTTTGGAATTGATGAGGATGTAGAACTATCTACTGGTTCAATCACATATGGAAGTGATGATCTGAACCTTTGGCAACTTAAGATAGATTCTTGTGAGGATATTAAAGCTTCAACTAAGGGATCCTGTAAAATGTCAAATTTGATGATTTCAAGCAGCCACGTGACATCTTCAAAGGAAGTGAATGAGGCTACTTCTGGTAATTGCTTTTTTTATCCTTGTGGTAAATTTTTAATTTCAACATATTAACCGTCAAATTGTTGACTGGATTATGACTCGTTTTTTTTCTTTCACAGCTCTGAATGAGGTTGACTATAATAAAAATAAGGTATGCATAAGTTAACAGCTAACAAATGTTCAATCTGTTAGTCCATAGTTTGTGACTTATTGTATTCTTAAAAATCAGCTTGTGCCTAAAGTTTCTCCCAAGAGAACGATTGGAGCACAAACTTCTCGGGTGTCGAAAAGCCAGCAAAAACAATTTTGTGCAATACAAGGCTCGGGGAAGTCGGTGGCCGAAACAAGCTCTCAATTAATGCAGGCATGTAATTTTTTTTCTTAAACCAGCAATCGAAATTATCTCTTTGAGGACATCAACTAGTCCTATTTTAATTAGACAGTTTTCATTGATATGCATATTTTTTAACATGTACAAAATGTATTTTTACACTATCAGAAAGAAAACCTGCAAATGTGTTACTTATACGCTATAACTCTTTAAATGTCTAATATAACAAATAATACTAAAATATTATCCTATTTATTAATACATATATTATCCTCATTTCAATTATTGCTGCATATAGTCAATGTATCTATCCCATGTATTTTTGGATCGTACTAACTATCCTCACTCCTATATCTTCAAAATAATGTATCTCTCCTCATATCATGGATGCATAATTAATACATATTCTATATGGTATCAAGAGCGACTTAGGCAAAAAGGTTCTCTTTCACGAATGGCCATTGCTCTACTACCGGGCTATCACGAAGGACACTATGATAGTTGAACTTCATGCCAAAGCACATTTCCTGATAAAACTTGTGTCCACCAAGACCCCTCCAAAAGTAAGACGAGGATGTGCCATAGTCAAGCAAGTGCACCAATCTTGCAATATTTGAAGTATTAGAGATATGATTGCTCTTAGACGAGCACATAGACATGATTTGGAGGAGCTTGTGGTTCCCCTAGTCTGAGGAAGACAAGCCGAAGTCCCCTCTAAAGGAGATGAGCTGAAGTCCCCACTAAGGGAGACAAGTTGTTGTCAACCTCACACCAAATTCTTAAAGTCGGGGCCATTAATGCATGAAAACCGTGGAATCCTTCTCATCTCTTGGAGTCGTCTTGAGTAGGATAACTCACATGGATTTGTTACTTAGGAGTCCGGATGCCAACCCTGAAGGCGTCTTGCTAAGACTTAAGAAAAAGTGCTTAGT